ATGACAGGGCTGCCTCTGCAGAGGCACAGGAAGGTCTGCCCCAGGGACTTTGGACAGGTCCTTGCAAGACCCTCAGGCTGGTGGGGAGGGCATCGGGAGATCCGCCAAGAGACTGTGGGTTCTGTTCCTCCTGGGGGGAGCGGTCAGGGGGTCCTTAAAGAACCTCAGGCTGGGGGCACTGGGAGATCCACCAAGGGCAAGGGGCTGTCTCTGGGTTCTGTTCCTTCTGGAGGGGCAGGGATCCAGAGCCCGGCTGCCTCCTCCCACCGCTTCCCACCCCGCCCCCCGCAGCGAGGCATGGTCACAGAACCCCCCTCACCCAGACGCACGGATCCTTCTTGCTCAGAATCCCCAGGACCGTGGGCATTCCTGCGCTGAGTCCCCATCTGAGTGGCCCTCCACCCGCACTCCTACTCCCCTGGTTTCAGAGGAGCCCCCCAGAGCAGAAACCTGGTCTGCTCTATTCTTGCCCACTGAGTCCCTGGCACGGGGTACAGACCGAGGGTGGTCCCCACACGTGGGAAGGTGAAGCTGGGGTTCCAACAGGTCTTTAGAATACGGAGCCCACCGCTCCACCCATCCGTACACTTCTGTCCCCAAAGCTCCTTCGGGACCACAGGGAGGGAAGAAGCAGAGCCGAAGGCGGCTGCAGGGCTTAGGGGGCGCCAAGAGGGCCGCTGTTCTTACAAAGAAATGACACGGCCCCTGGGCGGGATCCAACGCGCCGACCACCTGCAGCTGGACTCACGGCGCGAGGCCGCCCAAGTGCCAGGCGGGGGCCGGCGCGCACAAGTTCTCCGACAGGAATCTCTGCGAGGCGGCGGCGTTCCACCCGCGGAGAAGCGCCCAGCTCCCTCCCCGCCCCTCCGCACTATCCCCCGAGGGGTCCGCTTATAAAATCCACCTAGGCTGCCTTTGCTGGAGACCCTACGAGAATCCCCGGGCAGGACCCAAGACGCCTCCCAGAGAGGTCTGTAGAGAGATGAGGGGGTCTGCGGCCACCGTCAGCGGCGCCCCGACAGCCCGGCCACGCCGAGCCCCGCAGCGCCCCGACAGCCAGCCCCGGGACTGGGACTCCCGGCCTGCAGGCGCGCTGGGCCGAGCGGCGGGCAGAAGACGCCCAGCTCCAGCCGTGGCCCGGGAGGAGCGCCCCGAGCCCGCAGCCCAGCGAGATCAGCTCCGGCGTGCAGGGGGGTCGGGGAGGGGTGGAGGATGACCGAGCGGACCGGAGGAGACCCTGGCGAGGGAGTACGGCGCGGGGCTTGGAGGCGAGGGTTGCAGAGGAGCCGCAGCGCAGGGGGCCACTCGGGGCCCGGGCGGCTGGGCGCAGGCGGCAGGATCCCGCGCCGGGGACGAGTAGCCGCGTCGGGGACGAGTAGCCGCGTCGGGAAGACCAGGGTCTGGAGCCCAAAGCCCGGCCAGGCCGGGGTCTCCGGCGCCGCGCCCTCACTCACCCGAGATCTCCGCCTGGGGCACGTCGCTCAGGCTGAAGCCCTTGGCTCCGTAGATCTGGCGGACCTCGCTGCAGCTCCGGCTCTTACTGGCCGGGTCCCCGCGGGCGCAGGCGACCAGCGCTGCGGCCGCGCACAGCAGCCACCAGCCTCGGGCCCGGAGCTCCATGGCGGGGCCGGCGGCGCCCCCGGCCACCCGCCCGCGCCTCTCTCGGATCCTGGCCGGGTCCTGCGCAGCTCCAGCCCGCGAAGGGCAGAGCCAAGGTCCCGGTGCGCGCGGCTCGCGGTCCAGAGGCGGCGGCGGCCGAGGAGGCGGAGACAACAAAAGCCGGCGGCGGCGGCGGCGCGGGGCGCGCGGGGTGCGAGGTCCGAACGCTCGCTCGGGCAGCCCAGAGCGCAGCGGGCGAGCGCAGTCCCGGCTCGGCGCCTCCCCCGCCGCCGGCCCGGCCCCTCGGCGGCCACGGGAGAGGAGAGGGGCGGGGCAGGGCGGGAGCGCAGGGGTGGGGGAGGGACTGGGAGCACCGGGCGGGGCGGGGCGCGGCGCGGGGGCGCCGGCCGGGGCGCACTGGGCGCTCCTCTGGCTTTCGGGGACCCAGAGGGCCCGCCCGGCCGCGCGACTCTGTCGATCCCCGGCGGGAGGCGGCGGAGCCGGGGAGCGCGGGGCCGCGGCCGGGGTCCCTGAGGGCGGCCCCCCACGCCCAGCGCCCAGGGCGGTGGCACCACCTGTGGGGGCGGGGACGGGGGCGGAGGGTGCGCGAGGCAGGGCTTCCCCCGCCGGACGTGACATCACGCCTCCCGCGCCCCAATCAGGGGCTTCCCCGCCCCCAGCCGAAATCGGCATCCCGCTCCCCGCTCCCCGCTCCCCGCTCCCTCCCGCGCGCTCCGGCTTCCTGCACCCTGGCAGCGCGCCCCGCGAACGCTCTCCCGGCGCCTCCGTCCCCTCCGCCCGCCGGCCGCGCCTCGGGCCGCCGCCCCTCACCCCGCCTGCACCCCGCAGCGGCCCCCTCCCCGCCCGCTTCCAGCCATCTCGCGCTGGGCTCCGGCTCACACCTGGGGCTTTTGTGGTGTGGGTGCTGCACGCAGGAAACTGGCCAAGAAACTCGACCTCACCTCTCCCAGTCCCAGGGAGCGGCAACAGATGGCTTAATTGTTGGACCTTGGAGGGTGACCCTCCACGTTCTTTGGATGCTGGAGAAACCAAAGTGATGGGGCAGGGCCGGTCTACTGGTTTTGGGCTGCTGGGTGGGGCCCGGTGACCTCTGGAGAAGGGATAGGGTCGGAACCCAGCGACAAGTTAGGTCACTGAGGGAGGAGAGTGGAGTGACCCAGAGCAGCTGCCTCTTTGAAGAAGGCGGGAGGGCTGCCTGCACCTTGTATGGTAGGAGGGCGCGTGGCTTTAGCTGCACATGGGGAGCTGGCCTAGATGGGGTCTGTGGGGAGGGGGCGAGGACTGCGGTGTTGGTGTCTGGAGAACTTTGCTCCTTCCTTGGCTCCCAGGTCCCCCACCCCGGCCCCCTGTTCTCCCCATGGTAAGGCCTGGCAGTGAAGCCAGATGCCTGACCCGCAGAATCGGGGGCAGATTTAGAGGTCGGCAGCCTTGGCAGAGTACCTCAAGATGACCCTCATGTACAGCAAGGGTGTCCTGATTTCAGGGCCTGTGGCATCACCTGGAAGCTGCAGCAGGGCCCATGGTGGGAGTGGGGCCAACATTCCCTGCCCCCGTGCCGGGGGCTCTCAGCCACTGTGTAGGGCTGGAGCAGGACGGTGGCTCCCCTCCCCCTGGGTGCTTGGGGTTTCCTGCCCTGCCCCCCAGAGAAGGTTGCTCCTTCACCCAGAGACACTGAGTCATTGCTGGAGAGGGAGGCTTTGGGGACCCAATCCAAGTGTACATTTCCCTGCCTTCCCCCACATACCCTCTGCTACGTCACATTTTGTGACTCACAGACCCCTGTGCAGTGCATGCTCCGGGCTTGCTCCTTCTTGTCGGCCTGGAGTGGCTGCCTGCACACCTTATCCAGTACGGTCAGGAGCCCGGGCCCATGATCCCGCTCTCTGTGTGGTCTCACACACTGCCGGATCGGGCAGGGCTGCCTGAGCCTAGGAACCTGGACTTGGGGTTAACCCGGCCTGAGGCTTGATAGTTACCCCATCACTGTTTATGCCTCCTCAATCTCACCAGACTGGGTTATTCCTCCAGGCAGGTCCTTCCTCCAGCCCAGTTCTGGGCCTCTGGAGAGCAGTGTGGACAGCAGGGCTCAGAAAGTGATGCTCGCAGCCCTGGCCTGGCCCTGGTGACCCCTGGGTGGCTTCATCTCCTAAGGAAGTCCTTGCCACCATCGCAGGTCCTGGAATCATTCCCATTCCACAGACCAGGAGACCTGTAGCCAGGACCTTCCTGTAGGAGGCACATGCCACGGGGGGATTGGAAGCAAAGGGCGGGGTTGCACCTGGGAGGAGCCACAGGATCCTGAGCAGCTGCAGCTGCCCCTGGTTCCCTCCTGGCAATGCTGCACATGCCTGCCGTCACCAGGGCAGCAGCCACCAGGATGCCCGTGCTGGTCGGGTGCAGGGTCCAGACTGGGACTCTGGGAGGGTGGGCAAGACTGATCAGTCCCCTCTTCCACCCCGTCCCTAGGGCCGCTCCACACAGGACACATGGGTGGGTTTGAGGACGTAGTTGATGCCTCGAATCCCAGCCACCACAGTAGCCCATGTGGCTCTGACCGAGACCACCCCCTCCTGCTTTGGTGTCTTTGCCTGTCTGGACGGTGGGGGCACACGTGTGCAACACAAGGAATGAATGAGCAAGTGAGGAAACAACCAAGAGGAAAAGTTTGTTCCTGAGAGCGGGCGTGTGGCGCAGCCTGGACCTCCTCTTCCACCGATGCAGAGTTAGGGCAGAGGAGGGACACTTAGCATTGTCTGACGGGCTGAGGCGGGCAGTGCCTGTCGGGCCACAGCGTGGGGGCCTCCCTTCCATGCCCCCATCTTCCGTGGAGGACCCCAGGTCCTGGAGGATGTGTACTGCTCTCTTAGGACCCACTCCTGCCTCTGCCTAGGGAGGGTGGGGGTCTGCGGGATGCTGAGCCTGGTCTCTGCTCAGAAGACACAGGGAGCGCCGAGGGGTCTGCAGCTCCCAGCCGTTCGGATGGCGGGTCTGCTCAGAAATTATTCTACTTTTGCTCTATGGAACCCCTGTGAGTGTGTGCGCCCTTGCCTGCTGCCACGGACGGACTGCTTTCCTTTTCTGTTTGGTTTCAGAGATTATTTTTCAGAGACTCCAAAAGTAAGTTTCCAAACAGACTGAGCGATTGTCCTCGCTGCCATCCACGGGTGCCTTCTTGTGAATGTCATTATCCGTAACGTCCTTACCGACGAGGGCCCTGTCCTGCTGGCTGTGGGAGGTGGGAGTGCGAGCGTGTGCTTGCAGACAGCAGGGGTTCAAGGGCATGGACTAGGGCTGGCTAGGCTGTGGCATCTGATGTGTTAGAGAACCCAGGAGGTGTTTTGGTGCCCTGGGGCGTAGTGGAGGACGTAGGGTCCCCACTCCTCTGTGGGGCTCTGGGGACCCCTTGGGCAGCAGCCTGAAGAAGGAAGTGGATACCCCAGTGTGTGACTGATGGAGAGAACATGATCCCCAGGAGCGGCTGGCAGCCCTGGGCAGACCAGGGTGGGCAGGACATACTGCCTGCAGAGCTGGAGATGCTTCTGCAAATGGTAATCAGGGTGCCTGCTGGAAAGAAGCCGGGCTCTGGGCAGCTCTGCAGGGGTTAGCAATGGGGAAGGGATCTGCCTCAGAGCCTGCTCTGGCCCATGAACTCCACCTCCAGCTCACCCTGTGCTTCCTGCCCCGCCTTTTGATGGTGACACTTGGGGAACATTCATCTGGTCTCTCATTCTGGTGCTGGCTCAGGGAGCCACTGTCATCTTATGGAGGAGCTCGGCCCCAGACGACCCTGCGGGACTGTACTCGTGTGGGGTCTGTGAGGTGGGGTGCTCATCCCTGCTCTGCCTGGACACTCCGTGGGAGCCTGGAAGGTCCTTCCAGCCCTGAGCCAGGACGCCAGTCTAGAGGAGTTTGGCTTTGAGTCTGAACCCTAGGGCTGCCTTGGCTCCCCCAACTTGGGGGCTGCCACTGGGCAGTGAGGGTGGGTGGACAAGGCCCCCAGCTGAGCAGAGTTTGCGGGACTGAGAAAACCTGGCACCATTATTCTCAGAGGAGGTTGCACCTGCACCTCCCTCCACCTCTCCCCAAGCCCCTGCCGTGGGGTAGTCAACTTCAAAGCAAAGCTCTTCGGAGCCTGCTCTGCTCTGCTCTGCTGGGTGCCTTTGGTCAGTGGAAGTCTGGGCTGGCCTCCTTATCCAGGTCAGAGGAGAGCAAGCCTTTTCAGTGAGGCCAGGTCACCCGTGTGGTAGGCGGGGTCAGAGGAGTGCACCTGTGGCCCCTCCAAGAGCTGACACCTGTCTCTCTGGTCTGAGGACCCTGGCTGCAGGAGATGACGCCAAACGCTCCACTCTGGGCTGAGCTGGGCTTGGCCTTCCCTGTGGTGGTTTTCCTGCCCGTTCCCACCCTGACTCTTGGCCTGGTCTCCCTGAGGAGAGAGGGAGCAGATGGGGGCACCCCGGCACTGTCTGCTATGTTAGGACGAAGCACCCCACACACCTGGAGCTCAGAGACCCACGTGGACGCCTCGGTGTCCCCAGCACCAGCAGCTCATGGCTTTCCTGCCAGGTCCTGTCTGCTTCATGTGTGGCTCCTGCCCTTCCCTCCGCCTCTCCCCTGCTGGACCATTGCTGACTTTTGACCTATTCCTCCTGCGGTCCATACTACCTGGCTGATCGTTCGAAAACCAGCATCAATCCAAAGCCTGCAAGGACTCTGAGGATCAGAGTGCGGCTGCCGTCAGCCACAGTGCAGGAGCCCCTGAGCCTCCCCCTCCTCTCAAGGGGTCCAGGAAGCTGAACTCTCTTCCCCTCCCCATTCAGATTTCAGGTTCACCTCAAACCTTCCTCTACGCTTAGGGAAGGCCTAAAGTTGCCTCCAGCTCCAGAAGTCTGGAGTCAAAGGGTTTCGTGTCCCTGTAGATGAGGCTCCTAAGGCCTGAGGGGGTCAGACTGTGGCCCTGCCCCGCCTCCCACTGCCCTTCTGCAGGCCTGTCTGAAGAGCTTGCGTGGTCCCCAAAGCAAAGAGCCGTTTCCAGGGTGAGGCCAATTGGACGCATCCCCTGAGCTGCTCTGCAGGTAAGGATTTGCCTCTGGACCATGCTGGCCTGAAAGGGTGGCACTGTCCACGCCATGCTCCCAACTTTCCCTGCTCCTGGTGAGGGTGTCCTGAGATGCTCAAGGCCGCTCGAGGGGAGTTGTTCAGTTGGTGGCAGGAACATGGCCGGGGCACCCTCTTCAGCCAACCTTCTCTCTGGAAGACCAGAGAACAAGACAGCAGGCATCTGTTCTCCTGGGCAGGAGCCCCCAGCCTGCATGTGGGGAGATGGCGTGGCCTGCACACCTGCCTGGGGAGGACCCAGGCCTGTACTGTGTCAGGGCCCAGAGCAGCCAGAGTGCTCACAGTGGCCTGCCCTGTGTGCCACTGGCCTGCGCTGGGTGGGAGGGAATCCAGGGGCTCAGTGGAAGAGCCTTCCAAGGGGGAGGCCTTGCCAGGGCCCACCGAGCAGGGTCTTGCAACCTTGGCAGGTGAGGCTGAGTCACAGGTGAGAGAGGCACCTGCATGGTGGAGTTGGGAGGCTGAGTCACAGGTGAGAGAGGTACCTGCATGGTGGAGCTGAGGGAGGACTGCTGGTCTTCAGTAGGAATCCTGTTTTCCTGAGGAGGCCAAACTGCGGCATCCGAGTTTCTGTTTCTCTGTGCAGTAGTAATGCCCCACTGGGTGGCAGGGGACAGGTGCCCTGAGCGTTGGACGGCTGAAGGGCGATGGAGCCCCTGATGCCTGTGGGAGGGAAGGGGTGGTGCAAGGCCTCTTCCGGGGATGGGGGCAGGCTGCCTGGTCCCTGGGGAGGGGGATGGGTGAAGGGTTGGTTTTATTTGCCCGGCAGCCACAGGCACAACCAGAGGTGAAGGCAGCTGCAGGGTCCTCTTGGACACAGTGGGAGTGTCCGGGGAGGGAAGGAGGAGCAAGCAGGGCTGGAACAAAACACAGCCAAGGACTTGGGAGGAGGAGAGGCTGGAGCCATAGACATGGCTGAGGACCGGGGAGGAGGAGAGGCCGTGACCACAGCCCGCAGCCATGGCCTGGCCCGTGGACCACACCTACAGCAAAGCTCAGCCACATCGGGTCAGCTCTGGGTGGCCCACCCTTGCTGGGGAGTGGGCAGGCACTAGTGGTGTTGTAGCCCCTCCCCAAAGGTAGTGTTTACTAGCCCACCTGGCCTTGGGTCCCCACCTTCGACGGAAGTCTGGCAAAGGCATCCTGAGAGGGTGACACAGGGAAGCCCTGCCCTTCCAGAGGGCCTCAGGCCAAAGTGCTCCCCAGACCTGGGGCTGCAGCCCAGGGAGGGTGGCCAAGGGAGGCTTAGACACCTGGCCTCTGGGCCTCATTTTAGGGAGGTGGGGTGACTCTTGGGCAGGTGCAGGGCTTCCTGAGTAAGTGTCACATGAGCAGAGTGATTGCAGCCTGCAAGGGCAGGGCTGTCAGCCAGGTGAGGACAGCAGATTTGGGTCAGGGCCAGGCACAGCCACAGGGCCTCTGCCCCATGGACATCCTGGTCCTTTCCTGGCCTCTGAGTCCCTTCACTCCATCTGTCATTGCTGGCGCTGACCAGCTGAGCCACTCCCTTAGGTCACTCAGTCTTCTTCTGCCTTCATTTTCTCGGAGGAAAAATGGGCATGAAACAAGGATATTCCCTCAATAGCCACATAGTCTTAAAAAAAAACAGAGTTGGAGGACTCAATTTCCCAGTTTCAAAACTTACTACAGTACAAAGCTACAGTAATCAAAACAGTTTGATATTGGCATGAAGGCAGATGTGGACAAATGGAATATAAGAGTTCAGACACAAACCCACACACCTGCCGTCAAGTTTTTGGGACAAGGATGCCAAGATTATTCAATGAGACAAAGAGTAGTCTCTTCAACAAGTGGTGCAGGGAAAACTGAAGCTAGACCCTACCTCACACCATACACAACAGTGAACCCAAAAGGGACCAAAACCCCCAGTGAGCAAAAACTCTCAGAAGAAAATACTGGGGAAATCTCATGACATTGGATTTGGCAAAAGATTCTTGGATATGAAACAAAAAACACAGGCAATAAAAGAAAAAATAGGAGAATTGGACTTTATGAAAATTTGATAGTACTCTTTGTGTTTCAAAGGGTGCTATCAAAATGGTGAAAAGACAAACCACAGAATGGGAGGATTTTTTGCAAATCATGTATCTCATGAATGTCTAGTTTCCAGAAGATATAAAAAACTCTTCAACACAGCAAAAAGTCAGTTTTAAAAATAGCAAATAATTTGAATAGACACCTTTCCAAAGATGATATGCAAATGGCTAATAATCTCATGAAAAGATGCTGAATATCATTAGTCATCAGGGACATGTAAATCAGAGTAACAAGACATCACACCACACTCAAGAGGTAGCTAGCATCAAAAAAGTCAGAAAATAAGTGTTGGCGAGGATGTGGGAAAATGACAAATCTTGTATATTGCTGGTGGAAACGTGAAATGGCTTAGCCACTGTAAAAACAGTTTAGTGGTTCCTCAAAAAGTAAAACAGAATTAACATACAGCTCAGCAAGCCTACACCTAGGTGTATGGTCAAAAGAATTGAAAACAAGTATTCAAACAAAAATTTTTGCATGGATGTTCACAGCAGCACCATTCACAGCAGTCAAAATACGGAAACGTCCCAAATATCTGTCCAATGAGCAGACAAAACTGACCTATCCATGCAAGGAAATGTTCTCCAGCCATAAAAAGGAATGAGGCACCAATTCCTGCTGAAGTGTGCAGGAGCCTTGGAAAGATCACGGTAAGTGAAAAAAGCCAGACACCAAAGATCACAGGCTGTGTGACTCCATTTCTGTGAAATAACCAGCATTTCACATTCCCCTGAACCCACAGCAACAGACAGTAGGTGCGTGGTTTTGGGGGCCGGAGGCACAGAGGGATGGGGAGAGCCTGTTTAGTGGTTTCCCCTAAGCAGTTGGGCGATGAGATGTTTTGGAACTAGACAGAGGTGAGGCTGCACAGCCCTGTGAGCAGACGATTTGCCACAGAATTGGACACTTTACAGTGGTTAATTTTATGTTATGTGAATTTTACCTCAGTAGAAACCAAAGCCAAGCAGAGTTGCCGTGAGAGGTGAGGCGTGGAGCTGGTTATCCATGTGGAGCCCAAGAGCAGGCCCGACACGAAGGGAGCCTCTCCCAGCGTCCGACGCCCTCGTCCTTCCCAAGTGGGCCCAGTTCAGGCTGCCGGAGGTGCAGAGAAAGAGGCGAGACACCATCTCCCAGCAAGCGGCCCTGTCTTAACCTTAGCATCATGAGGCTGGGGTGGCCAGGTAACTGGGAGCTGCATTTCTCAATCCAGCCACCTGGCCACCTCCCACTGCCACCACACATCACACGTGCCTGAAACAGAACCATGGCAGCCCACTCATGAGGACCCACCCACCGTAGGGAGGGAGAGTGCAGTCCGTGCCTGTGCCCACTGTGCCTCTGAAGCAGGTGCCGCGGGTGTCCCCCCAGGCCCCTCCTTCCTCCCTTCTACACACTCAAGGTCGCCAGTGACTGCTGCCTGCTGGGTTTCCCTGGGTCCGCCGGCAGGGCAACCTGGAAGAGGCAGAAAGCAAATGACTTAGACGTATCCCTTAGCTGGTGGATAGGCACCAGCTCCTGCTGCACAGTTGGAAACCCCAGGTATGTGTGTGCTGTTACAAAACAAACTTTCCACACATTTGGTTAAGACCCGATATGGTTTGAATGTTTCTTCTCTTCAAGTCTCATGTTGAAATGTGATCCCCAGTGGTGGAGGTGGGGCCTGGTGGGAGGTGTTGGGTTACAGGGGTGAGACCCTAATGAATGGCTTAACACTATCCCTTTGGTGATGAGTGAACTGTCGCTCAGTGAGTTCACATGAGAACTGGTTGTTTAAGAGAGCCTGGGGCCTCTCCCTTCTCTCTCTTGCTCCTAGTCTTACCATGTGACGCACCTGCTCCCCCGTTGCATTCCTGAGCCCTCACCAGAAGCAGATGATGGTGTTGTGCTTCCTGTACAGCCTGAGCTGATTAAACCTCTTTTCTTTATAAATGACCCAGCCTCAGGTGTTTCTTCATAGCAATGGAAGAACCGACTCACACAAGATCTAATTGGCTATCCCTGGTGACTCATGAATCGGGCAGCATCATGTCTGGAGAGTTAGGAAGGGTGTTCCCATGAGCTGAGTGGAGGAGGTGGGCTTTACAGGCAGAAAAGGCTGAAGAAACAGAGATGGGGGACAGCAAGTGATTGGGCATTGTGGGGCCACTTTCCTTGTCAGACTAATACGGAGGGGTTTCCTGAGTCTGCTGACTCAGGTAGACTGATTGGCTGCTGTGAATCTCTTCATTTTGGGAAAAGGGTCCCCCCCTTTCTTTTTTTTTTTCCTTGAGACGGAATCTTGCTCTGTAGCCCAGGCTGGAGTGCAGTGGCGTGATCTCGGCTCACTGCAAGCTCCGCCTCCCGGGTTCACACCATTCTCCCAACTCAGCTTCCCGAGTAGCTGGGACTACAGGCACCCGCCACCACGCCCGGCTAATTTTTTATGTATTTTTAGTAGAGACGGGGTTTCACCATGTTAGCCAGGATGGTCTTGATCTCCTCACCTCGTGATCCACCCGCCTCGGCCTCCCAAAGTGCTGGGATTACAGGCATGAGCCACCACGCCCAGCCAAGGGGCCCTTTTTAAGTTCAGTTTGATGATGTGACATTCAGCATGAGTGACTCCATTCTGGTTTGGTCTGGGTGTTGGGTTTGGGGCAGGAGCTTCTCTGAACCAACAGCCACGGTCATTTTTATTTGACCATTGCTCTATGCTGTCTCCTGAGGTTTCTTGTAGCCGAGCCGGGTCACAGGGAGCTGCACCCGTCACCCATCCTGCTACTTCCCTCCTCATCTCTTCCTCACGCCCCTGCTGCTGTTTCCTGGGACCATCCAGTAAACGAACCTTGTCTCAGCATCTGCTTCTTGGGGGAACACAGATGAAGACTGTCTCAGATGTGCACAGTCTCCCTGAGAGGCGGGTCTGTTTGCATCCAGCTTATAGAAAAGCATCTGGCTCAGGAGGTTAAGTATTAATAATTCACACAAGTTCACAACAGCTGTGATCGTCCCTGCCCTGCCACCTCCCTGTTTATCACTATGTTCTCCAGTGACATCCTCCCCTCCCATCATCTCATGCCTTGGGAAAGGTGGGCGAACCCTGAAGACAAAGCCCTTACCTGGAAGGGGAGGCTCCAGGTCTCCAGCAGGCAAGCCGTGGCTCCCTTCCACCCAGCAGGAACACTGGGCTGACTCTGGATGGATGGAACTGCTACAGTTCGCAGAGGTCTGAGTGAACTGGAGGCATCTTCAATCCTGGTGCATGAATTGGTTTCCAAGATGTTGCCCATGATATTTCAACTATTTTCTTTTTTTTTTTAGAGACAAGGTCTTGTTCTGTTGCCCAGGCTGGAGTGCAGTGGCATGATCATAGCTCACTGCATCCTTGAACTCCAGTGCTCAAGCAATCCTCCTGCCTCAGCCTGCAGAATAGCTGGAATTACAGGTGCACACCACCACATCTGGCTAATTTTTATTTTATTTTTTTGTAGAGACAAGGTCTCGCTATTTGCCCAGGCTGGTCTTGAACTCCTGGCCTCCAGTAATCTTCCTGCCTTGGCCTCTCAAAGTGCTAGGATCACAGGTGTGAGCCACCAGGCAGTGTGGTATACCGCAGATCAGCATGCAAGCCTGAGGGTAGGGCTTGATGAATTTGCATCTCATAAACTGCACCCAGATTGAGAAACAGAGCCTGCCCTGCCCCAGGGACTCCTCACATCCTCTCCACATTGTCTTCCACCCTGAAGTCCCCCTGCCTGAAGCTCCCCTGCCACAGGACAGCTGCCCTGCCTTCAACCCTGACCCACCGACCGGGCTGTGGGGCCTGGTACTCTCCCCAGCGCTGACCTTGGTCTCTCGGCACTGAGCACCGCCTGCTCTGCTGCCCACTCCTAGTTCTCAGGTGGCCCTCCGTTGTGAGCGCTTGTGGTCTCCATGCCCAGGCCACCATGGGTGGAGAATCATGTGTTTTCAAGAGTGCTGCTGTAGCTGTGCTTGTCTCTGCCACCAGGGGCACGTGGGTGCGTGCTTTTGTGGGGTCAGGGGTGCTGGGCACCAGGCTAGGCAGAGTCCGCCAAGCCACGTCACAGAGTGACTGCTGGCTGGGCTTCCCGCCTCGTGTCCTCACCAGTGCCAGCTGCCCTGAGAAATCGTCTCTTCCTGGATGAGCTGGCTTCCTCTCCCTGGGAGGTAACTGCACCACCAGGGCGAGGGTGGCCGTCGGTTCTGCTGTCTCTGAAGCACCAGAATGTGCCTGGTGGGGCAGTGCCAGCTGAGACTCGGGTCTTCACGGCTGGGTGGTGAGTGGTCGTTGTAGGAATGAGCAGTGCTTGTTGAATGAATGAATGACCAGGTGAGGTGGCATCGCCACTAACCCTCACGCTAAGAAGGAGCAGGGGTGTTTGGAAAAGTGTGAACCTAGCGGAGCCGGTCACTGCACCTGTGTGGACCCAAGGGCCTGTACATTTCCCCCGTGCCCCTGGTCCGGACCAACAGGCCTGCCCTCCAAGATTTTGTCCCCAACATGAAGACTTCTGTATTCACTGAGAGCCTCAGGACTGTGTTTAGAATGTTGCACAACACAATCGTGGAGAAAGTGCAAACTTTCCGTCTTCCTCTACAGCGTCTGTCACCAGCCAGTCTCCTGCTTTCTGCCCCCGCAGGGTGTCAGGAAGACCCAAGCCCCAGCCGCAGCCCCGCCTCCTCATAGCCTCAGTCTCCCTCCATGCCTGCAGGTTTTCTGGAAGGAGATTTTCTTGCTACGTGACCATTTCTAAATCTAATTTGGAAGCTGTCTAGAATTAGGCATTGCACATTAATTGCCATTGTGGGAAAAGGCATTTCAAAATCACACACAGAGATCCCACCTGCTGGCCAGCCCTCCCGCCCTCCCAGTGGTTGGAAATGCCAGAGCCACACACGGTCTCGGCGTTGGGCGGAAATCGACTCTGGAGCGTGGCACCTGGAGTGGCGTTAGGTACAGGGTAGCGGGAGGGTTGGTAACCCGGGCATTTCCATTCAACGAACTTGGGCTGAATGTGAGAGGCCCGAGGGCCGTACGCCTGGTGCACCCATCAGGAGGGTTAGCGGCAGAGATGCCGGCACCAGGGACTGTCGCTAGTCAGAGTATGCCTGGCGCACTCAGGAGGGTTAGCGGCATCAGGAGGGTTAGTGGCAGAGATGCAGATGCCAGGAACTGTCGCTGGTCAGGGGCAGGGCTAGGTCGGCTGAAGACTGTGTTGTCCCGCAGGATCCAGTTTGTGGGACCAACAACCAGAATTGGAAGCTTTTGGAAAGCTTGAAAAAACTCTAGTAGTGATTAAAATAGAACACATCATGTTCTGAAATATATGAAAAAGAAAAAAGAGGGTTCTAGTTCACACCCCCAAATCATACCCTCACCCACAGTGACCAGGGTGAGTCACTGTGGGTGCATCTTTCTAGAACTTTCTCCGGTTCCTAAACGGCCCTGTTCAAGCGTCTGATGCCCATTGGTGTGCAGCATTGTTTTTCTAACTGAACCCTGAGTGAGCCTTGGTGGCCTCTCCACATCAGGGCCTAAAGCTCCGCCCACACCTCTCTTCCAACCCATTGTCAATATTCCAGAAAAGGGCTGCAGCCTCTATTTTACTATGCCTCGGCTCAAGAGTGTTTTTAGTTCAAACAAAGTGACATTAAAATGGCACTGGTGGCTTCTATAGAACAGATGATGAGAAACACATCTGCTGAGTTACAGGGTGCACATTTCAATATTTTAAAGAGCTTTGGCCCAACTGTCCTTCAAAAAGACAAAGTCAGGCACAGTTCCTGGTGACTCATACCCTTGTCAAAGCAGAGGCCATCACACCTCTCGATGTTGCCAACCAGAGGCAAGGGGTGAGATCCGGGAATGTTTCCGTTTGTATTCCCTGCTCCCTGGGAAACTGAGCATCTTTTCATGCATTTACCAGTCACTGTCAGATTTTCTTATGGCCTGTCTATTCAAGTCCATTGCCATTTTTCACCTTCTTTGGTTTTTTTTTTTTTTTTGGTATTGATTTTTGAGGTGCTCTTTATGGATTAAAGATTATGCTCTTTGTCTGGAATCTATGTTGCAAATATTTCCTCCTTCCTCTGTTCATTTATGTGAAATGCCAGTAAATACTCATTCCAGTACACACTGGCCTGTTTCTAGACTCACCCTGGATCTTTTTTGCATATTGCTGGGGTAGGGCCACACTGTTTTGAATAACATAGTTTTGTAAGCTATACATTTCTTCTTATTCAAAATTTCTTGTTATTATTTCCTGTGTCTCCCCCAGGTGAACATTGGATTCATCTGTCAAGTCCTGTAAATAATGGATGAGAATTGTCTGGAGCTCATAGATTAGTTCTGGGAGAATTGATATTTTTTCAGACATCCAGGAATTGTACATATTTCAAATTCTCCCTTTACTCAATTTAAAAAATTGCTTTGCAGTAAAGTTTCACATTTTTCATCATCTAGCCCTTTTTATATTTTGGGGTTTATTCTTAGATGTTTTAAGGTTTTGGCTATTGTGAGCAGTATTTTTGGCCATACATTTTCATTGGCAATTGCTGTGTTTAGGGAAGTCATTGGCTCCATTGGTTTTTCAAGTCACAGCTTTGCTAAATTGTCTCCTTACTTCTAATAGATTTTCAATTGGCCGCCTTCTTATTTCTAGGTAGACGATCATAGCATCTGCAATTAGTGATGACTTAATCTTTTTATTTCCAAATATTTATGCCTTTCATTTCTTTTTTTAATAAATACATTATTATCCTCATTAGGATCTCTAGTATAATAGTAAAGACAAAATTGGTAATGTTGAAAACACTCACGTTTTCTCCTGACCTTAAGACTAAGACTAATGCTTTTAAAGTTTTATCATTAATTACAATGTTGACTAAAGGCTTCTA